AGTTCAAAATTAGTGTGTGTGTATATGTATTTACTAATTATATACATATATACAATTATATATACTTATATGATATATAAGTATACACACATTAATTCACACGCAATGTGAATAACAGAGATTAGGTAAGTTGGTTAAATTTTCTCATCTAAAAGCACTTTAAGAGAAAGAACACTGCTTCAACAGTGTTTGAACAGTATGAACACTCACAGCAAACATTAGCCTTGATGCAGGTCACGGTTACACAAAACTGACTCTAATTAATGAACTGATGAAAGGGGTAAAATTTGGAATTTTACCACCAATAGAAGAAACATAAGACGAAATCTTTGTGACCACAGTGGAACACAGAATTTTTAAACACAGTATAAAATAATCAATACATTTCCTTAAATCGAATTAGAAACTTTTGCTCTGTAGGAGATACTGAGAGACTGGAAAGGCAAGCCAAACACTGACAGAAACAGTCGGAAATCATACATTCAGCCACGGACTCATATCCACAATAAAGAGCTTTCCAAGTGCTAAAACAGGAAAACAAATGATTCAGTAAAAAATGGGCAAAAGGAGATAGACACTTCACCAAGTGGGATACGAGGATGACACAAAGAAACATAATGATGTCACGCTCAGTAGCCACAACAAAAATAAAAGTTAAAACAATGGTGAGTTAGCATTACACATCCATTAGAAACATTTTAAAAATCTGACATAATTAAATGCTGCCAAAGATCTGTAGCAGATGATATGCGCACGTAGTGCTGGTGGGATGACAAAGCAGTATAAACACTCTAGAGCAATGTGATAGTTTCTCTTAAGACACTGCACCCACCGTGGGCGGGTCGAACTACATCCACACTAACAACAACCGTACCATCTGGCAATCTCACTCCAAAAACCAAAACTAAAGCTCACACAAACATCTGTACACACACATTTATAGTTGCTCTGTCTCTAACTGCCACAACTGGAAACTATACAAGCAGCTTTCTGCAGATAAATGGATGAAAAACTTCATGTCCATATAATGGACTAGTACTCAGCAGTAAAGAAGAATCAACCACTGGAACACTGAACAGCGTGGATAAATTTCACAGGCATTATGCTAAGTGGAAAAAAAAAATCCAATTTCAAAGGATTGTGAATTATATCATGTTTAATACCATTTACATGCTGGTCACTAAAAGATTACAAAGATAGAAAAGCGGCCATTAGCTACCAGAGGTCATATGTGAGGGAAATAGTAAAAGATACTAAGAGACACATGTTTAATTCAGATTATGGTGATGACCATAGAAAAATGCAGCTGTTAAAATTCACAGTACTGTTGTGCTTGGAGTGGCAAGATTGGTAACAATTCAAAACTACTGAACTATCAAAGCCACTTGAGCAGTGCCGTAGGAGCATGCCCACATCAGGGACCTGGGATGGCTGGGCGGCTGAGTGGTGCTTCTCCCTTTGTTTATCCCCTTCCCTCAGATACAGAAAAAAAACGACAGAGAGAGAGAGAGAGAATGTGGAGGCAACAATCTTACCCAATTTCCTGTAGCCCTTGACCCTTTGCACCCTAATCAACTATGTAAAGATAATAATAATAATAATAGTAATAATAATGATAATTCATAGGACTGTATAACAAAACCAAAACGAAGTCCATTTTGTCACAATTTTTTTAAATAATGAATTTTAAACAATGCACCAAATAAAAATACACAAATAAAACAATATTTATTTAAAAAAATCTGTTTTCATTTACTTCAAAGTCATACATATTGGTGGTGGGGAGAGGGAGGGAGAGACAGAGACACAATGGAGAATTTTCCATCTACTGGTTTACTCCCTAAATTCTTGCACCAGCCATGCCTCGGTCAGGCCAAAGCCAAGAGCGAGGAACCAAAAATCCTATGTGATGTGACAGAACGAGAAAGGATAACGTGCTATGACCTTTACAACATATTTTAAAACATTTCCACAAAATATTTATAATAACTGAAATATTAGAGGTGACAATACAAGGTTGGCTGCATATATTTCTTCTGTTTTTTTATATTTAAAAATTTTCATAGTACAAAGTGAAGTTAAAAGAAAAGTAAAATAAAAAGAAAAATAATCATCCTAGCAATCCTAAATACCTAAACCGGGTGGTATGTGGGAGGCAGAGGAAGGCACTTTGAAATACAGACTCTAGAATGTTTCTACTTTGATGGCTACTTTCCACAACTACGTTAATAAAACATGAAATTAGATCAAAGAACAATTTTATTTTGTTATTAAAATGTCTTCAAAATCAGTCCTGTTTAATAAGTAAGGAAGAACTCAAGAAAATTACATAAAATTCTATAAAACCTTTGTGATTCAGGGAGTAAGTCACCGAGTAAAAGTGCCTCACATTAGCTGAGAAACATCGATTTCTTGTTATCATACTGCCAAGTCTTGCTTTCCCCATTTTGTTTCAACACAGTAGTCTTCATATTTGAATACTTTATTATTTGATAAAAGCAAGTGGCACGTGTGAAACAAATGACTAATCCTACAGACAAAAAGAGCAGGTACCTAAACAGAAAAGGAAGTTGGAGATCTGTAGACATGTATTAGAGATCTAATCATAGGAAGATAAGCAACAAACATAAGCAGGTGGAGCAGTTGTTCACCCCTGCCCACCACTGCCCTCTATCTTGCCAGATCATTCCTTCTAGCACTCCTACAGCAACAATTTGGTGTCCCTGGCAGAAATCTAATATCACAAGCCTACTACTTTTTATTTTCATTCCTTACTTAATTATATCATCTATCATTACAACTGCATACATCTTCAGTTTCCTTGCTTCTCTCTCTGTGTCATTCTCAACTCACTGCCAACTTTAACTTAAGATTAATGCTCACTTTTATGTGTATAGTGACAAGTCAACAATAGCAAGGGAAAATTCAGTTTGACTAAGCTCTAAACCCATGCCCACTGACTTTGATATATTTTTGGTATAATTTGAAATTTTAGGTATCTCCCACAATGAATTTACTATTCCACCTTCCTGTTTCACATTTTCTCCTTTCTTGCTGTGCCTCCTTTTCCACCATTACCCTGAGCTTGCTTCAAATTTCACTAAGAAAGTAGCAAAAACAAAACAGTGACAAATCTCACTTTAGTTCACTTCCTTCCCACATGACTAGCTCTCCCCTGCAGACTCAACCTTCTGTCTCTACTAGGCTGTTCCTTTCAATGCATTAACAAACTATTATTTCTTTCCCCTTAAAAACTGCTTAACTTTCCCATTTATACAAAATGCCTTAAACCACTGTCTATACTTGGTGTCTCGGACTCCCTTCATTCTCTGATGACACAACCCACCAGTCTACCAAAATTAATTCTTACCAACTTCACTATGGACTTCCATGTCATTCAGTGGTGGGACTGATATGCAGTTATCTTACCTGGTTATTTCACTAGTAGCATCACTAACAAACTGAAATTCTTTCCTTGACTTCTAAAATTCCTCTCTATCCTCCATCTAACTTAGTGCCCTGTTCCTCACACACTTTCTGACTAAATGCTAAGGCTCAGTTCTTTTGCTGTTTCTATGCATTCTTATTTTTTTCTGTCTTATCACTATACATACTATCTTTTTGCTGTATGGGGCTATTGCCCAATTTTTTTTAAAAAAAAGACTTATTTATTTTTATCGTAAAGTCAGATATACAGAGAGGAGGAGAGACAGAGAGGAAGATCTTCCATTCACTGATTCACTCTCCAAGAGACCGCAATGGGCGGTGCTGTACCAATCTGAAGCCAGGAGCCAGGAGCCTCCTCCAGGTCTCCAGCACGGGTGCAGGGTCCCAAGGCTTTGGGCTGTCCTTGAGTGATTTCCCAGGTCACAAGCAGGGAGCTGGATGGGAAGTGGAGCTGCTGGGGTTAGAACCAGCTCCCATATGGGATCCCAGCGCTTTCAAGGTGAGGACTTTAGCGGCTAGGCCACTGCGCCAGGTCCTACTGCCCAATTTTAATCTCCAGCCATAGAATCTGATACATGTAGCCATCTGTTTAATCTACATCTCCACTTCAATATCCATCACATATTGCACTAAGCATGTCTGAAAGAAAATTTCTGGTTTTTCTGCTCCTCCCTTGTCATGCTCTTCTTTGCTGTAGCTCAGACTGAAAAAGAGTCTTCTTGGATTTCTCTGTCCGTTCATATCTAAACCACCTGTAAGACCTGCTACCTCTGCTTTCAAAATATGTTGGGATTTTTGCTAAGCACTCCACTACTACTCAGGATTTATCACCATCTTCTTCCTGGTCTTTGACCTCCCATTCTTGTCTTTCTACATCCTGAGGTCAACAAAGTTGTCATGAAGACACTTTAAGGAGTTAAATTGCATGTTATTTTTCATTTTCAAATTTGTCAATAATTTACCTTCCCGCCCCCCCGAAACAAAGTATTTACAACAGTCAACAAGGTCCTACATGAAGGAATATCTTGTTTTCTTATTCTTCAACCTTTTTACTGACTCCATTAAAAATGTGTATAAACACTGCAGAGCTACAATGTTAACTTTTTTTTTTAAATACATGGAACAAAATAGCATACATATTTGATTTCTACCTTAGGTTAGGATTTCAAGTGATTTTTTTTCCCTTTTTGTTTTTTTGTATTTTATTTTAAAAAATACAGTCAAAACAGAACGTACAGTTTAACTTGAAAGAGGTGTAAGTTGCAAATTCTGGATATACAGAGGCACCTTGTTGGGAATGTCGGCTGCTCATCCTCAGAACATACGGTAGAAACGGCAGTCAAGGGACTCCGGCACTTCCTGTTCAATGCTCCCTTCCCAGGCAAGACAGCTCCTTTCTCTCCCTGCCACAGCCTGTTCAACTACAGAGCGGCGACATACTCTTTGGGGAAGGCTCCATAACGTCCAATAAACATAACAAAATACTAAGAAAAATTTCAAAAAGCTTCCTGAATTAGCATAAACTCATACATTTGGCAAAGGAAAATGCTTACCTATCTCCCTTTGGTTTTCTTTTTTGTAGTGTCTTCCCTTTGGGTCTTCTTTCACTTCCTATACAGGGGCTCCCACCAGGTCCTGTTACCCGTATTGATTCAAGGCCTTTGGAGGATTTTTTAAATGTGAATTCCACTGGTTCTCCTTCTTTTAGACTTCTAAATCCTTCCATGAATAGTTTGCTCTATAAAGGGAGGAGGAGAGAAAGTGAGATTATAATTATCGCCACTGCTTTTTAAAGCATCTCTATAATTTTAAGATTAACAAGCCAAGATTTTGTTACCTATCACAAAAGCATAAAGTCATTTTTTTCCTTCAAAGTATATAGTGAACTTTATACTACTTAAGCCTTCGTGTCTGTTAGCAATGAGAATAAATATCCTTCTTAAGGCAAGTTCAAAATATACAAATTTCAATGTGTAAATTCTTGAGCAAGCCATTTATTTCAAAGACTACTATTGATAAACTCATGTACTGCTTCAATACAAAAGACACCATGGTGCTGTCCAGAAAGAAATAAATCTTAGAATTATCTAATGGTCATCAATTGGAACTGTTTAAGTTATAATACAACTGGGGCCCAGCACAAGAGCGTAGCACTTAAAGTCCTCGCCTTGAACGCACTGGGATCCCAGATTGTCACTGGTTCTAATTCGGGTGGTCCCGTTTCCCATCCAGCTCCCTGCTTGTCGCCTGGGAAAGCAGGATGGCCCAAAGCCTTGGGACCCTGCACCCACGTGGGAGACCCCGAAGAGGCTCCTGGCTTGGGATTGGCTCAGCTCCAGCTGTTGTGGCCGCTTGGGGAGTGAATCATTGGAAAGAAGATCTTACTCTCTGTTTCTCCTCCTCTCTGTATATCCATCCGCCTTTCCAATAAAAATAAATAAATCTTAAAAATAATTTAAAAATTATAATACAGCCAAGTAGTGCTACATTCTTATGAGAATATTTACTTTAGATCGAGTTGCATTTAAGCAAAAAAAGGAATTGCAAAGAACAGTGCATCTATTTTATTGCCACCAAGGTATGATTTTTCAAAGATACCTGTTTCTTTATGTAGAGTTAGTCTGTAATGGCAGACAAGAATCATAGAGTCATTTTCTCCAATCCTGTTCTGGGGAGCTAGGGAGGCTTTCTGGCATACACTTTATGCACTGAGTTTTTTATAACTTAACAGGAAATTGATTTTTATAATTTAAAAGACAGTTGAGTTTCTGTTCTGCCCTCCCTCCAAAATAGTTTTCTAATTACAGAATTGTAACTTTGGCTTCAATTGTCCATCAGCTTTTTTCTCTTGTAACTGCTTTCACCAGTTAAAGTCAATTCAAAAGATGCTAAAAATAATCAGCTTTATTTGTTTCTTCAAAATTTCTTGTGAACATTTTACAGATCTAATTTAAAATACCATATTGCTTTTAAAATTTTTTTTCTGAATGCTGTGGAGTAGGTAGGTAGTTCAGGGTCACTAGCTTGGAAGTCACATCTTTCCCAGACATAAAATCCTTTCTGCCCACCTGTGACTCTCACCTACCATCACCTTGGAAGTTGAGAGGGGACAGCACTGAACTGTTGTGTGTTTATCACTCCCGTCCAATTGCTCTAGCACCCTGAGTCTTGGCCTCCCCAGTACCTGCTTGCTCTCTGGCTTTCGACAAACTCCAAGGACAGGTAGCCTCTGAGCATGGCCCCTTTATGTCTGTATTCCTTATGCAGGACAGTAAAGCTGTTAATGCTAAGATGCTTTGCATTTTTAATTTGTGTAAAGAGTTCCAGGAGAGGTGAGGCCTAGCAGCAACAAAATGTGGAAGGAAAAGCCAGCAAAATGTGAATGTTTGCAGCTTTATAAGTATATCCAGACTGTTCGCTGCATGTATCTTGGGATAATTTTCATTGCTGGGGAAGCTGGGACATAGTTCTTCAGTTTAATGGATGGGCTTCACGGTAATGACCATTTTTCCTCTCAGAGTCCCAATTCAGACTGGACTACCATACAGACTTTTCATTTGCTAATTTCTTGGTTAATAAAGACTTTTTAATACAACCTAGAATTGTCTGGAGTGATCGCTATCACATCTGCAACACCAAAGTTGTAGGGGAAAATTAACACAGCGAAGTAGAGAATCTTAGTTCAAGTCTAGTTCCTTATACAAATAGTTACAGGGTTAGAATCAACCATTTAATTTCTTTTCCATTTATGTGTAAAGTGAAGTGATTTGAATGCTGAATGACAATGGTTTTTAAAAAAAACACTTCATAGTGGGGAAAAAAGATTCCTGGACAAATAAGTGTATGAAATATTAAGTGTATGAAATTCTAATGCTCACAAAGCACATTAGAAGTCTCGGAAATATTCTGATCAAAATAAAAAATCTTACTCAACTATCTGTAACTCAAGCCCACAACTCCAGATTTCACCACATTCAAGTCCCTGATTCTACTGGTGGAGAAAAACAGGAGTCCTGGGGTGGGCATTTGGCACAGTAGGTAAGACACCATTTGGAATACCAACATCCCCTTATAAAAATGCCATGGTTCACATCTGAGCTCTGCTTTCAAGTCCAGCTTCCCATTAATGCACACTCACAGAGGTAGCAGGTGATAACCAAAATACTTAGACCCTGCCAATTCATGTCAAAGATCTAGTCTGAATTCCTGGATCCTGGCTTCAGCCACTGTAATTATATGGGGAATGAATCAGTTAGAGGGAACTGTTTAACTATGACTTCATTTAACCTCAAAAACAGTAAATACTATAATCTCGTTTTATCCATAGTTGTACTTTCCAAAGCTTAATTATCTGAAATCAATCCAAATCTAAAAATATTAAATGGAAATAAGTAATTTATACGTTTTGAATTTCACACAGTTCTGAGTAGTGTGATAAAATCTTTGACTATTTTACTCTATTTGGCATGGAAACAGAATCAGCCTTTTGTCTGCTCTATCTGCACTACATATTTTACCTATCCATTAGTCACTTAGGAGCCATCTCAGTTATCAGATCAAATGCTGTGCTATCACAGAACTTGTGTTCAAGTAATTCTTATATTAATGACCCCAAAGCACAAGAGTAGCGATGCTAGTAATTCAGATATAACAGCAAAGCTATAAAAATGCTTCCTGTGGATGAAAAGAATTTGAAGTTAAGAAAATCAATATTCATAGAATCAATGAAGCTTCTGTCTATGAAACTATAGATGAAAAGAAAATGATGCCAGGCTTGCTGCTGCACCACAGAGGCCATTTAGGTAAGACAGAAAGGACATTAAATCTGAAAACGTAAGGGAGAAAATGCAGGTATATAAACAAGGAGGGTGAACACTATTCTCAATTGTAGACTCCACTTGGGGGTCTTAGAGCATAAACTCTGCAGATAAAAGAAAATACTATGATTACATATAATCAAGGCATTACATGGAACAAATAAAAACACTCCTGAAATTCAAGCAAAAGGAATGTACTTATTGTGAAAATAAGATGACACATGAAAACAGATTTATTAACTTGTTCTAGTGCAGGTTACCTGACGAAAAGAAACCCTTCGTGCTGAAGTTTGCAATGTGGCAAAGACTTTGCTACTGTCTGATAGCACACAGAAAAAAATCCTGTATACATACTCTAAAATAACAAATCAGTATTTTAAAAGCTATTTTGATATTTCTAAAGCATCTTCTCATTTTCTTCTTCTCAAGCTTTCTCCTCTCCAACCATAGATAGCTCTTTTGCTTTCAATTCTATTTCTTTGCCCTTTCCACTAAGAAAGTACAGATGATTTATTTTAAACTGAATGAAGGGGCCCACAAGGCGACATAGTGAGCTAATCCTCAACTGCAGTGCCAGCATCCCATAAGGGCAATGGTTCAAGCCCTGGCTGCTCCTATCTAGCTCCCAGATTATTGCCTAAGAAACCAGTAAAGGACTGCTCAAGGCCTTGAACCCTGCACCCACATGGAAGACTGAGGAGAAGCTCCTGGCTCCAGGTCTAAGATTGGTTCAGCTCTTGCCTTTGTGGCCATTTGGGGAGTGAGCCAGTGGATGGAAGATTGCAATCTCAACTGTCTTCCCCCACCCTCTCTCTCTCTGAAACTCTCTCCTTCTCTTTTAAAGATTGACTTTTTTTGAAAGGCAGATCTACAGAGAAAAGTAAAAAGAAAGATATTTCATCCATTGGTTCGCTCCCCAAATGATTGTAGTGGCCAGTGCTGAGCCAGTCCAAAGTAGGAGCCTGGAGCTTTTTGCAGTTCTCACATGTAGGTGCAGGGTTTTAAGGACTTGGGTCATCCTCTGTTGCCTTCCCAGGTCATAAGTAGAGAACTGAATGGGAAGAGGAGCAGCAAACAAACTGAAACCCATTTGAGATACCAACACACAAACATGAAAGAATTAGCTTGCTGAGCCATGGCGTCAGCCCCTGTGACTCTGACTTCCAAAATAAAGAAAGAAATCTTTTAAAAAGTAAATTAAGTAAAGCATAGTCAGCTATCTGGATTACAAGAACAAATAACCAGTTTTAATTGAAGTTACTGTGTTTTCTACTAACAAAAATTCTGTCATTTGTTAAATTTTAATAGTTCCTAGCACATGGGTTCATTCCATCAACTTGATTTCATCTTCCATTATTTTAATTCCTTGTAGGTATAATTTATAAATAAACTGCTTTGTCATATATTAAGAAATATTCCATTTTATGAACAACAAATATTCTCAAAGAATATTTTAAAGATTCTATTATATATTCCTCCCTTCTCAAATTAATACATAAGATAATTTAGAGCCATGATACCTGGAAAAAATTAACTTTTGAAAGAATGGCTCTGCAAGAAAAAGACAAGGTTTCACAAAAAATGTTTACTCTGTTATTGTTCCCCAAAAAAGCTGCAATAAAGATAGCAAAAACAGGTACTTAGTTCATATTTGTTCACAAAAATCAATTTCTCCCCTAAATTGGTCAATTTTTATTAAAGCTTCCTCTATTTTCCCAGTTACATAAGATACAATGCTTAATCCTGCTCAACCTTGTATTGGATCTTGCACATTCTTAAAAGTCTCTCTTCATCCATTTTGTTGGATTGCACAATCCTAATATAGATGCTATCTCTTACCAGTCCAATAGATTCATCACTGATATTTAAGCATCGTGTCCCCTAAACCTACGTATTCTCTGTGCATCAATCAGCCTGTCTG